CTTATAAAAAAAAAAAAAAAAAAAAAATCATTTTCATAAGGTATAGTAAACCGGATATTAGTAACATATGTTCTCACAATCTTAACGGAAATGACTAAATCTTTTTTTGCCAAGTACAAATTGTATCACAAAATAGGATTAAGACATAAGGTAAAGAAAGCTTTATCGTTTTCAAATAATACTTCTAGATAATAAGAATAGGTTTAGTATTCACTATCTGTAAAATTATTTTAGACACCTTAATGAGATTATGTGGCTCAAAAGTACTTTGTATTTTAAAATACGAGCTTTCTAACTTTTTTAGATCTTCTAGCTCTGTAATCATATTTGCTATAACAATCTTGAAAGTATGATTTTTCAAGTAAATATTCAAGTAATAAAATGAAGCTTATAAAGATAAAATAATCCATTTACATTTTATATATATTGATAACATAATCATGTGATAAAAAATAATGTAATATTGTGGCTTAAACCCGACTGATATAATCTTATTTTTCATAAACCTTCATGCAATTTCTTTTTTTAACTTTTTTTCTCCATATATACATCTTTATAATTACCCCTTAATGTTAAAACAGAGAAAAAAATAATATATTTCACATTCCTATTTGTGGTAGATTATTTAATAAATTACTTACTGAAATATTGAACTACTTTGCATGACAGAAGATATATATTTAGAAGTTCTATATCATTCTATTAACCATTTTCTTCTGCAACTTTATGTGCTATCTTATTTTGAATACTTTTTTTAGTTCTTGAAAACTTCGAGAGGATTTTCATTATAAAATACTGATTTATTCATAAAAATTTTTATATTCTTGGTGATTAAATTAATCATACAGAGAGTATCAGCATTCTCAAAGTTTATTTTAACTTTAGAATGTTGCTTTTTTGAAAAGGTTTTCACAAATTTAGCAGGGATTATGCCTGTGTAGTCATAAAGGAATATATATAGTTTTACATTTATTAAAGTATAAAATATTTTCACAATAGCTTCCTATTCGTTAGCCGAGAAAGAAAATTCCTTCACTGGTGAAGGATTTTTTTTATTTGCAATGGCGTATTATCTATAATATCTTTTTTTATTAAACTTCACTATTGGACTTAATCAGCTGTGTATTTTGATATTTGCTGTAGTTTCTCACAGAATGATAGATCTTTATCTAACACATCACGAAGTGACTCACGTATAGATTTTTTATTTACTTTCAGTAGACAAATATTGTGTAATACATCCAAAGTAGAATCGAGAGTGTCTTTAATATTTTCATTAATTACTCCAGTTTTTATCTAAGTAAAAATTTTTATTATAAAATTAGAAAAAAACTAAAGTCTCAATATTATTCAAATAATCATAGATAATTAATTAAAATACTACAAAATTTATCATAGTCATGATATTTAAATTGGATCATTTATTTAAAGTTGTGAAATATGTCTGTTACGTCAAATTAGTCAAATTATTAAGTCATAACTCATAAGTTATAAGATCATTAATGTATATCACATGATCTATATGATTTATAAAAACCCTTAATTTTTTTTTGTAATTGTCAAGACTGACTCTCTGAAAGTTGCACTTATTGTTGTGTGTAATCGTAAGAGTTATATTTGATGTTTTCAGAAGGTGTGAAGCGTATTCTGAAAAATAGGATTCTTTCAAGTTTTTTTTGAATTGAATCTATATATAAGATCTACTGATTTTGAAGGAAAATTCAGTTATATATTTTTCTTATAATAGTTAAAGAAAGATTAAATTGAATATGTTCGTAAGACTGACACTTCATGTCACTTGAAATCATCAGATTCACTGGCCTTCAAAGTAATAATTTAGGTCAGTGTATTTTTATGTTAGTAAAAAATAAAATCCTTTTCACTAATATTAGAACTTTACTTTTTTTTTATCTAAGCCTAAACAAAACAATTAGATATATTCTCTATTACTATGTAACGAAAAAAAAAAATTGCTTAGAAGTGGTTCAGAAATATAAAAAATAATAAGAAAAAGTTGAAGTCATTCTTTTTGTACAAGATTAAGAAAGGTTTATAAATAAATGATAATGATGTGAGTATTATTTAACAATTTCTACTAGTAAGTTTTCATTAACTCTGTTCAACTTTCTAGATGATTTACAAACTCAAAAACTATGAATTAAAATTAGAAAATATATAAGGGAAATAAAGCACGGATTGAAAATATGAAGACTATACTTGCCGATGACATACATTTCGGCTGTTTACTATATATTGTCAAAAATTACCTCTTCAATTTAAAGTGATGCGAAGAGAATATTAGACGAGTTGATTATAATTAAGGCTTTTGAGAAACTTATTTGCATTACAGAAAGGAAGCTTCATCAAGTGTTCATAGGCTTTACTCAGAATTTAGTCTAATATGAAAGCTCCTTACAAGTTAATAAAAAGAATAGAAAACATAAGTCAAACGAAGTGTTTGAAGAAAATTTCAGTTATATCTACAGTATCATTATAATAGCTTTAGATTAGTATTTTATTCTTTTTACCTTAGATGGAATATTAAGCACAAGTAAGGATCTTATCAATATTTGATTTTCAGATTCTGCTTTAAAAGAAGGATTGAAGAAAGAAAAAGATTTACATAAAAATGTGAAGTGAGTTATGAAGGTCATCGTTAGCTTGTTAAAGGATAGGTTAGAGTGTGTAGATGAAGAATTAAATAGGAAGAGAGTTAGAATAGAAGAATATTATTCGTATGTATAATAATAGTATAGTCTTCATATATTACAAATAAAGTTCTGATCTTTGTATTTATTTTTGTATTTATTAATAAATTTTTAAAAATTTAGTTTAATTATATATCGTTTATTTAAAATAATAATTTTGATTATTCCTATTAAATAATATTTTTATTATTTAATGAAAATAACATATTGATTATTTCATCAAATAATCTTTTTATTATTAATAAAAATAATATTTTAATTATTCCTATTAAATGATATTTTATCTTTCTTTTCAATTGTTATTTTTATTATTAATAAAAATAATTAAATTATTATTTTCATTAATCAATACTTTTATAGTTTAATGAGAATAATATTTTATTTTTATTAAATAATACTTTTATCATTTATGTGAATAATAATTTTGATTATTCCTATTAAATGATTTTTTATTATTTAATTGAAATAATTTAAATTAACTTTTCAGATTAATTCAAAATTTTTAATTTAGTTTAAAAAAAATCTGAATTAAACTGAACTGAAAATTTTTAAATTGATTTTTATTAAAGATAATTATTATATTAAAAAAATAGTATAATTGAATTACAATTTATAACACAATTAAATTTACTTATAATATAATTAAGTTATAATTTAATTGAAATTTAAATGTAATTATAAAGATTATCTTTAATTTTTATATAATTTGAAACTAATTTGAATTTAATTTGAATTGAAAATTTTCAACTATTAGAATTTTAATTATATTAAATTAATATTTGTATAGATATAATTTTTAAAAAATCTATTAAGTTTAAAACTTTTATCAATTATATTATTTGACTTGATATTTATTTTAAAAATTCATATTATAAATTTTTTATTGTCTATTTATAATATTAATAACGTAAAATTATATTATATTAGAACAATATAGAAGGCGGTCAGTAGAAAAGGAGGAAATCTACTTTTAAGTTAAAAATTTTTTTATTGGTTTACTCTGCTGATTACGGTCATGTGAATTAAACTAGTTTAATAACTAAAATTACTCAAAATTTGTAAATTTTCCTTTTTCTATTGACTACTCCCTATATTTATTATATATATTAGTTTTAAATACATAAAAAATATTACAAATAATATTGCAGATAAAATTTAGAGATTTTACAAGTTATTTAAATGATAAAAAATAAAATTTTAATAAAATTTTATTAAAAAATCTGTGAAATTTAAAAAAAGATCAAAATTTATGAAAATAAAGAAAATATATTAAAAATTAGTGAAATTAAAGGTTTAAATGTTTACCAATCTAAAATTAATTTAAATAAGTAATTTTAATTATAAATATTTATTAATTTATATTATATATAATTATTAATATTAAAATATATTAATTTTTAAATTTTATTTTTAGATTTTAACTAATAATTATAGAATCCCAATTATTAAAACTTTATTATTAGTTAAAAAATATTTAAAAAATATTTTTTATGAATTCAATGACTTTGGTTAGAAAATATCTTTTAATTTTAAATAATAATAATAATTTGCAATATTATATTAAGATATTCTTATTTACTATAATAGAAAATTGCAAATTAAATATTGAGTTAAGAATAATAAATTTTTTTTTTACTTTTTATACTTGCTACACTTTTTTTATATAGTTTACAATATATATAACTATATTTACTATTATATATAATAATTACTATTATGTTAAAATACTTTAAGTTATATACTGTATATACTTATATATATATGAATTATAATATAATATAATATAATATAATATAAATTAATTTATTAGAGAAAACCCTTTATTATTACAATTTTTAATTTTTATTAATAGTAAATGATTTAATTAGTATTTAAACATATAAATTTTTTAAAAACTTAATAAATTTAAAATATCTATTAACAAAAGTTGTTTTAAATAATAATTATATTAATATTTTACATTTTAAAACCACAAAACTAATTGACGTTTCACGTAAATGCCAATAATTATCATATATATATCGTTGGTTTATTTTTAGCAAAGTTTATGTAGTTTATGTTAAAGGGCTGATTTGTAATACAAACTGAAACCCAATTTAACAATTTGTTAAGCCTCCCATTTTTCCTATATCAATTTTTTTTTATTCTATGTCCGGTACGTCAAATTTTCAGTATATAGTGAGCAGTTTCAAAAGCATTCCCAATTTTTTTAAAAAAAGAAATGAATAAAATATGAAAATCTTTTTATTACTCGTTCTTACGTTATTCTCATTAATCATTCGTATTTCATCAATGCCACAAGATCCCGATTTTAAAGTTTCCCCATCGATTTCCGTAAAATTAGTTGGTCCAAATGATGAGGATAAAGTACCTGCATTACAAATTTTTCCTCTTAATTCGGATATTAATATTGAATGGAGTAGTGAAGGAATAAATGACGATTGTAAGTTGAAAAACATTAAATACATTGAAAAAAATTTCTCTCAATGATGATTAACTCCGAATTTATTTGTTTGTCTATTAGCAACCGTATTTATTCAAGTCCATTATATATTTCCAACTATACCAAAGGAAACTTATGTTCCATTATTGAAAGTACCAAAGGTAAACTTTATTAAAGAAATTTCTTAAATTTATTTGTTACTAATTATTTTTTTTCATTTTATATGAAAAAGATATCGAAATTAAACGAGAATTCGATCAAATTAAGCCTTGAATCGGAATTATTTGAAACCGAAAAATTTTATTTAGTGACCGTTACTTTGGAAGGTGATGAAGACGTTGTCGGTTCTTCTGATCCTTTCGGTATCTGTACGGCGTGTACATAAGAGAATTTTTGAATTTAAGATCCAAATTTAGAAAAACCCTGTTTCACTTCTTTAGACATCAAAAAATATATTTCGGAGATAATTTTTTTTTTTTTTGGTCGGAGTTATATGAATTAAATTAATAAATGCATTGTTCTCATAAGTTGTAATACCTTCATTGTGAAACAAATAAAAAGAATTAAAATTATTTTAAATAGCTGAAATTTTTTTGGAACGGATTACTTTCAATAAAATTTTATATTTGAAAAAATTTTATTCAAAGAAATGAAATCATTAAAATTATTAATTGCATTGGCCGTTTTGTTTATACAGGTAGACGAGGATTATGAATTTCTTTTTATTCGATTCGATCGAATTCATGAATTAATTTACCTTTTACATACATAGATTACTCCGAATTTAGCATATGAGGGAGTCTTAAGCATTCCATCTGACTTAAGTTGGATTGTGTGTAGTGAAGAACGTACTAACACCATCGGTAACTAAATATAAAAGCTTTTCAAAAAACGAAATTCAAAGAACGCATTTTAACAAATTAATATACATATATATATGAATAGGATTCGAGATATCGGAGGTAAATAATGATCAAGTTGATCAAAATAACACACTAACAGTTGGTTGGATGGTTCAAGGAGTGGTAAACGCAAGCCGGTATATAACTCATAGCGTAGGATTTTCGGTGTTTGTTTTACGCAAAAAAAATCTAGAGCTATTTACCAATAGGGAAGCATTTGAAAAAAATGGGGAAATGTTTGATTATTATTCCGATTTTTCTTGTGAAGCCCGCGCAGTTACAGAATGTAACAGGCATACCGTAGATCGAAAACTACTTCCGGATTATGATTATCAATGTTTAATAGTTGTAAATCCTAATTTTCAACCGGTTGCTATCCAGTATATTATTAATTTTGATTATATTGGATTTCTTGAAAATAGCGCTAATGGATTAAGTGGTGAAGTTGTTCAAATATTACAAGTATTACTAATTTTTTTTATCGTGATAATTATGTAGATTTGATGTTAAGTTCATCAATAAAAAAAGAAGATTCGAAATACAATCATTCGATTTATACATAATAAATAAATATGCAAGTAGAAAATCCCGATTAATTAATTTCTTTATTCAATAATTTACAAAGGAAAAAATAATTGTATCGAATGACATTATATTTTAATTTCCCCTTTAAGCTGTTAAAGGAACATCAATCGGACTCTATAATAAAAAGGTGTTATGTGAAACCACTTGAATTTACTTTATCATTTTACAAAACATTAAACTAATTAATTTAATTACCTTTCCGTTTCGGATTTCAGTAGCCGTTGGAAATTTTCCAAGTCTTAACTATAAAGGGATTGAAAAGAAAAATCAAATTATAATACACGTGATCCTCCATTAGTATTAGACAATATAAATTATATTATTACGAACCAATTCAGAGCTATGAGATGCAATAGGATCGCTAGACATTGTGGCAACTGCTAAAATTTTATCACCACCTATTGAACAAACAAATTAATTTAGTAAAAATATATATTTATTTAATGATATGAATCAATTTTAACAAACGTACGTGCGTAGAAAGCCGCAAACTTCATTTCTTCTAAACTTCCTTGTACAATGACATCATCAAAGCTACTGGCGTATCCACAATAACGTAATCCTTTAGAAAGCTGATTACTCCAGAAGTAAGGAATCTTTTTGAACGGAATTACTTTTTTTGATACTATGGCTTCAGCAACTGCTCTTCCCGTATTCTCCGCAAATGACTAAATATAAAATTTGTTAAGTTTTAAAGCTGCAGTAATATAATGAACGTAAAGGTTATTTACCCAATGCTCGATTCTAAGAGGTTCACCGGTTATAGAGTAATTAAATTTAGCAATATCTCCAATTGCGTAAACATCTTCGAGTCCTTCAACTTGGAAACTATCTGTAACCTTTATGCCGCCATCTTTCTCTAGTTTAAATTCGGGAGTTCCTTTCAAAAATCCCTAATTGTAATTATATAATGTTAAAATAATACGTTCAACCGAATAATAAAATTTTATGTTTTTTTAAAAAAAAAAAGTCTCACTGTTGACGGTACGACTCCAGCACCAACTATTACTATATCGGCTTTGATTTTAGTTCCGTCCCTTAAAACCACTGCACCGCATACGCTGGGATCGGTTTCTAATAACATCATAATAAAAGGTTATTAAAAGATTGAATTCAAATATATTCCTCGACATTGACTTACCAGATGGTTCAATAGCTGTAACCCCAGCTTCAAGATAAAATTTGATTCCGTGAGATTCATGTAGTGTTTGGAACACCTTTCCAACTTTTTCTCCAAGTACTCTTTCAAATGGTACCTAATTAATTGAAACTAAGGTTATCTATGAACTAAATTAAAATCTAAATTTAGTAATAAAAATTTAAATACCTTCTCCATGCCAATTACAGAAACATTAGCCTTTTTAGCCGACATTGCCGCAACTTCCATTCCGATAAAAGAAGATCCGATTATTACCAGATTCTTCTTTTCATCATTTTCATTAACGATACCTATTTAATAAACAATATATGATTAGTTAACAATAATAAAAATAATAATTTATATTCATTAATTATTTGAACTTGGATTTACCTTCAATTTTTTTATAATCATTAAAGGTACGAAGATATAAAACATTTTTGAGATCAATTCCCGGAATCGGAATTGACCTCGGCTATTTTTTTAAAAATAATTTTTTTTTTTCAAGGATTCAATATTACAAAAATAAAAATAATTCTTAATATAATTTAACTTACGTCGGCACCGGTAGCGATAATCAAACTATTATATTTCAACTCTTCTCCATTATCAAGAGCAACAGATTTTGATGTTGGATCTACCTTCGTTGCAGTCTATAAAAAGCAAATAAATTCTGAAGGTTTCTAAATAATTAAATATGGATCAGCATCTTATTAAAAAAAATACGTACGGTTCCCAATTTAAGTGTGATAGACAACTGATCATAAAATGCCTGATTTCTGAGAAATAATTTTTCAATTCCAAAACCAAAATTTTTAGAAAGCTTTGGCCTATAAATAAATATAATAATTAGAAAAATTAAAACCGTCCAGCAATCAATTTGTAAAGAATATTTCGTTTGCTAACCTATCGATAGGTAGGTACGGTTCTCGACTCACGAGGAAGATTCTTCCGTAATATCCACTCTAAATACGTTTCATTAATTAATAAGTTAGCAAACGATAATGCTAGAATAATTCATTCTTGTATATACCTCACGAAGTTTTTCTGCAGCTGCATTACCACTAGCACCACCGCCAAGAATTACTATGGTATCCTTTTCCGTAATTGCATTACCACCACCAAGAGTATCTTCGCTAATCGTAGGCGTAACGATACATTTATGAGGACGTCTTCCCGCTTTCAAGGCTGGAAAAGAAAAAAAATTGTTAAAAGTAAGAAACGAAATAATATATAAATGTTATCTTATAACATTGAAATTCCTTGCCTGCTTCATCAACTTCCACGTAGACGTTATCATCATCTTTGATAGTAACCTAATTGTAATAATATAAAGTAAATATTAATACAAAGTTAAAATTCGGACTAACTTTTTATAATAATTTTACCTTAAATGATTGAAGGTTATCCATTCCGGGAGAATCCTCTAATGATGATCGTCACATTTAAGACGATTAAGCCAATTAACGTAAAAAAATTTTTATTTTATGTAGCAATCAATGACAAAAAAGTATTCATACCGATATCTCCAGTTTTGACATTAAAACATGCACCGTGCCAAGGACTAAAATTACGGAATCGTATTACAAATCTTAAAATGTCATCAATATAAAGATAAAATAATTTTACCAAGTAATACGTCCATCATACGATAGGACGCCTTTGGCAAGGGGTGCCTATGAAAAAAAAAAATCACTATTAATTTGTAAATAAAGATGATCATAGGAATTTATTTTAAAATATTAAAGCATACTCCATAATGAGTACATTTGCTAGAAGTGGCATAAATTTGTCCATCAATTTTCGAAATGAGCACTTTAGAGTTACCAACAGCTACTTCTTGCCTAAAAAAAAAAAATTAGCCATGACGAGGAAAATTACATAAGCGATTTGATAAGGAAATTACTTGTTCCCGTCTTTATAATCAGATATTTTTCCAATAGGGTATTCGCCCATGGTCAAGGATCGTAAAACGCGTGAACAATTAATTTGAACAGGCAAGGAAAATTTAGGATGCTTAAATAAATTAAAGGAATTTCTAAGTAGTGAAGAGCGAAAATTCATTATCCAAAAAACAGTCTGATGCGATCGTTTATTCATTTATCGTATGACAATCACATGACTATGAGAATTTTTTTTTTGCTTTAACGTTAACAAAACATGTGATAATTTGGTTGATTTTCTTGTTTTTATTGTCGTAATTACAGTTAATGCAAGTTTTAATTAAAGCAATGAATTCAAAACGTCGTATCACCACCTTGAGTTGATGTTATCACTTAAGTTGGGAAAGTATCGGCCGAATTTTTCTCGTGTACCATTTCACTTCAAACTAATTAATAAAACCTGTATTAGATACTAAAAAAGGATAGCATAACAAACCTTTTCCCTTCCTTATAAAATTTACCTTTTTTTTTAAAAAAAAAATAGAGACCCCCAAAATATCAATTTTCATTCTTTAAACATTCGCCTCCTTTCCCTCTCCTCTTAACTTTTACCTCTTCGTACTTTTCATAAAGTCTCTCGGCTGGCCGAGCCTTTTTCCTATACCTTCATCTCATAAACATCTCGGTCAATGATCATTACACTTTCGTTGATTTAGATTCAGAAAAATGAGTAACAACAAAAACAACAACATACAAGAATTTAATCCATATTTTGATGATGGAAGTATGGATAATAAATATCCACCAGCATACGAAGACATGGATGATTCAAGATATAGTACCGAAAAAACAAATGATAATATACTTCAACCTGAAGAAGTTTTTCTTCAAAGACAAACCTCAGCTAAAAGACTACTTTCGAAGGAAGAACAAACAAAAGCTGCACGTAGTGATTCCATGAAAAAGCTAACGAGGGGCGATTCAGCAAAGAAATTGCAAACGCTCAACAAATTTGACCCTGCAAACGCATATAGTAGTACTGATACTGTATTAAAACCAAGTACTTTTTTCGAAAAGTTCCAAGCTTGGATGATCAATGAAGGTAATTAGGCTCGCTATCGATCATATCTAAAGTTGCTCGTATGAGAAAATTTAATTGAAAGATGAGACACCCTTTTTTTTATTAATGCGTCACAAGTAAATAAATTAATAAATTTCCTTAATTTATATATATAGGTGCACGAAAAATATTCACCGCAATGTGGATCATTATTCATGGACTGGTATTTACAATGGCATTCCTCAATTTCCTTTTCCACGATAATTTGAAAACCGCAAGAGAAACTTTTGGTATTACCTTTGTATTTGCGCGTTCTGCAGCTTTAGTCCTCCATGTAGATGCGGCCGTAATTTTATTTCCTGTGTGCCGCAACTTAATTTCATATCTCCGTCAGACACCAATCAATACCATTATCCCATTAGATCAAAATATTGAATTTCATAAAGCAATCGGTTGGTCTATTCTATTTTTCACAATTGTCCACACCGTATCACATTGGATCAATTTTTATAGATTGGCCGTAGCAACTAATGGGGGGATTGTTATGTGGCTTAAACTTAATTTCATATCTGGACCAGGGGCAACTGGATACGTTATGCTTATAGCTTTAATTGTTATGGTATGTACAGCCGCGGAAAAACCTAGGCGTGCTCATTTCAATAGATTCTGGTATTTTCATCATCTCTTCGTTCCGTTCTTTGGTGCGTGGGCTTTTCATGGAGCTTTCTGTATGATTCAACCTGATAGAGAACCAAAGTGCAAAGATATCGCCTCATTTTGGAAATATTGGATTGCATCCGGTACAATTTACATTGGAGAACGTATTCTTAGA